TCTGGGCACATCTAAGTTCTCTGGCAGCTGCTGGAGAAGAAGCTCCTGCAGGAAAGGAAAGAAAGGCTCTGTGACAATTTGGCTGCCTGAGATGCTAGTACTACTGTGCTGCTTACTTAGCTTTTTTAATGTAAAGTGGTGGACCAGATTGAGGCTGAAGAGGAGGAGGAGACCTCATTGGGGCACACTACTGTGTTATGTAGAGGCCCCAGCATCAATGAGGGTGTGTCTTAACACACACACAAAGTCACACGTCACAAGTTTTGCTTCAGCAGCTTGAGGTGCAGTTTCCCAAAAACCCCTGAACCCATCTCCTTGAAACCTGACAGGCTTTGTGGCCTCAGCAGGGTTTACCATCCCAGCTGTTATCATTCAAATCAGGCAATAAATTATAAAGTTGTAGGCATTTTCATGATTCCCTATTATAGCCTATGGGCGAAACATTGAAACACAATGAAAAAGTTTCCACGAAACAAAATGGAACAGTGCTTTGAAACAAAATGAAACATCAAAACTAAACACAAATTGAAATGGTGAAATGGAAGTCAAAACAAAACAGTGCTGTTTTGCACAGCCCTAATTCCCAGTCCCCTCATACCAAAGCCCTTAAAGTAAGCATAGCAGTTCAGAGCATGTGCCAAGAAGCATACTTGAGACAAAGAGCCTGAAAATAACTCTGGGTATGTGCTGAAGGTCATACTACAATGCATACCCTGCCTAATTTCTGGGCTTGAGTGCATGTGCTGAGAGAGAGCAGGTTGGAATGTGTATCCATGACACTCCTGGGCTTCCCACAGAAGTAGTGTAAATGTGTCCTATGCTTCAGTCGTTCATCTATACACTGGAGATAAGAACATTCATCTATCTCCAAGCCACGATGTGTGGATAAATCTTTTGATGACTGACAGCTACTCAGATATTATGGTGATAAGGACTATGCAGATATAGATAGCACCAAAAAAAAGAAATAATGGAAAGAGAAAAAAAGCAGACATGTTGGAAAGCAGCTGGAAACAGACCCCAAAATGATTGCACAGTCGATCTGATCCCTTTTTGTGTCCTCTGATGATTCTGCAAGGATATGCAGAAGATTCTCTCTTTGTTCAAATGGCAGGGCTGTTCAGATGTTCTGTAAATCCTTGAATCCAGTTTCTGTTGTTGTGGCTGTGGGGAGAAGGGCTACGAGTCTTATCCTGGTCGCCTCACTCCTGTTGCCATGGAAGTGGAGGAATAGAAGTTTGTTCCTTCACACCGGTAAAAAAAATATGACACAAGGGAGTACACTGCACAAGAGAGCTCTAGAGTGTGTGCTTCCTACTTATTTTCAGCCAAAACTTGAAAGAGTCTACAAGATATGTTAGGTCTGTTGCTGGTCTTGAAGCAGGTGAGAGATGACTTTATAAATTATATTTAAGTCTAAATATATATAAATCTCAGTGATCAGATTCTAAATCATTCATAAGAGGGAACTGGATTACAAGTATGTCAGGGTGAGACCGCACCCTAGGGCCACCTAGAGGGTTCCAAGCACTTCCCCTACTCGCCTGCCATGACTTTGATGTTGATAGATGGGGGAAGCAGTTCCCTGTAGGTGGTCCCAGAGAGGTCATAGCCCTGGGTCTTTCTTTGTGGGGCTTCAAACCTCCCCTTTACCCTACCCTTACCACATCCATGGCCTGGGAGAGCTCAGTCCAACTGTACCTTTCCCCAGGATGATCTCTTCTCACCTGCGAGGCCTTCCCCAAGTGGGGTTGGGTTTGTCCAGCCACCAATCACTCCTGGATTGATCCTTAATCATCAGGCCAACCCACGAACAAAGTAAACACACCCCAGCTTGGGATGACGATAACTCAAAAGGTCCTTCACTCTCGGCGAAGGCATTCAGTATCTAACGACAAATACAGGGGACTCAGGCTCCCAGGGCCCTTCTGCCCCCCTGGGATGGAAGAGAGACTCGTCATTGGCCCCTCTGCTTACTCTTCCCAGGGACCCACAGGTTAGGAGTTAATTACTCCTGTTCCCTGGTGGGAGTCGCCCTTTCCCTGCCGGACTCTTGGCCAGTTGCTGCCTGCTCCTCTTTTTTCACCCAGCTGCCTGCTGGGTCTTGGTGTCACTCACCGCCCTTCCCCACTGGAATACCTGGCCGCTCCCACAGAGTGTGGTCTTCACTCGGAACTGTGGAGATGACCTTCCTCTTCCTGCCATGCCCCTCTGGTCAATTCCGGCTCCTCAAACCCAGACCCAGAGTTTTCCCTGCTGGGCTTCCCTGCCAGATGCTGGGGCTTCTTGCCCTGTGCCCCACTCCACTGATCCTACCTGGCTCCACCACCTGTGGCTCCTCTCCGGCATCCTGCTCCTCCCTGCTGGGGCTCTGCTTCCCTCCGCTTGGCTCCGCCTCCTGGTCCTCCCCACCAGCATTCTGCTGTTCCCCGCTTGGCTCCGCTGTCTGCCTCATGCTGGCAGCCTCCTTGTCTCCCTCCCAGCAGCTAGGTGTCTCCCCAGCTGCCTTTTGAGCAGCCCACTCTGCTCTCAGGCTCTGGCCCCAAGGTTCACCGATCCGCAGGCTCAGGCACCTGCAGAGCCGCCAAGTCTGCATTGGAGTCTTTTCCCAGCTGCTGCTCATCCTGGTCCCTGCAGTAAGTATTGGGTCTCATCAGGCAGGTTCCTGGGACATACTGGGAGGGGAGCTTCTGTCTCCCCCACAAACCCCAATATGACTCTGCTGCTACTCCTTCCTTTTAAAATTAGGTTGTGCTCCACTGGTCTAAATTGAGAATGACGAGATGGAATGTCATCTTAGGTATTTACTCATTACTCTTAACTCCCCTTATTTTCTACTCTTAACTCCCCTTATTTTCTGTGTTTAAATCCATGCTGTAATATTACTTTTGTCTATAATTTAAAGCAACTGCAAAAGTCAAGATTCATTAAAACCTATGTCCTGAAGTTCACAGCAGCCCTGGTAAATGTGGCATTTTAATTTAATCCTGTTGTAAATTATAGTAGCAGCAAAATTTGTGGTACTATTTAGAAGTATCCATCAAAGTTTGTATTGTGGATCATGGGGCCTGGATCACTTAATACTGGTAAATCCAAACCAGGGCTTACTTGATGATTATGTCAGTTTGTGCAGATTATTTTCACCTTTATATATATATCTCACAAGATTTATCTCAATGTGAACTGATGAAACTGTGGACAGACAAAAAGGTCAAATGCTTTTGTGATTTCCCCACCAAAGACAGGAAAGTTCTAAATCAAGCCAAATAACTTGTTCCTCTGCAGGTGGGCAAAAAACTGTAAAAGGGAACAGCTGCAGCAAAAATAGCACAGGGCACTAGCCAATGGTTTCATTTCTATATGGGTCCAGACAGAGGTGTAACAAGCAGGGTCTGCAGTCTGGAAAGGCAGAGGCAGTGGGTACTATTCTTGGATCCCTCTAAGGAGGTACCTGGAGCCGGTGCCCTGGCTGACCACAGATCACTATGCTAATACAGCCACAAACATCAGCTTCCCCAGACAGGGGATACACAGTGTGCACAGCCCTTTAACAGCCCCTTCTAATCCTTTCAGAGTCAGTGGCCACAAAAGAGATGCTGACTATGCAGTCATTATACAAGCACTAAATGACTGCGCATTAACCTGATTTACTGCACAGTAGTGCCAATGGATAGCTCTTTTGTGGCTCTGACTGCGCAGCAGTCATACCACACTACTGAGCAGTAGCATCACATCACAGTTTCTGCCATGCAACACTACTGTGCAGTAGTCTTGAGCTACTGTGCAGTCAGCGTGTCACGTAGATGTGGCCAGCATCTTGTCTCTTTATGCAGACATCATGTGATGAATGAAAGTGGAGCAGTTCTTCCTAAAAAAGGTGAGAGCCACACCTCAAAAACTGTAAATTGCAATGGCAAAAAAATGGCACCACAAGGGTTAGCAATAACTTTTCCACTGCTTGTATTTTAACAGAAAAATCTAGTGTTCTCTCTTTGGAGAGAATACTGCCATTGTCTAGCCATTCACTCTGACCCTGATAACCATCTTCATAAGAGTTAACCACAAATTTAACTCAGGCAAAGAACACAACATATATTATCTCTATGAAAGGGAGGGACTGTTTGTGATTTTTTAAAAGAACATTTTATTGGTTTTGACCAATGAACTCACTCCTATTAAGTAATCCATCCAAGAGTTTCCATGGACTGCTATGTGCTTAAATGTATCATGCTGCTGGGGTGACATTTTGGCCTTTTTGAACTTCCAGTAACTTCAATAGGACCAGGATTTCACCAATAGACTTTTCCATGCAGGAAAATGTTTTAAGCTTCCATAGTTAAAATTTCTGAGTTCCAGAATTTCTATTTCAGAAATGAAATCTGGCCTACAACTGGACTAATCTGAAGTGGAGTGAGCTACTACTTGCAGCAGGAGCTGCTGAGTTCTATTAACTCACCGTGAGACCATCTGTACCTTTCTTAATTTCAGTCCACCTCAATTTAACAATCACTAAAACACTGGAGTAGTATTGACTTTCCTCATAGGGGTGCTGTGAAACTTAATTAATTTATTGTTTGTGTACGACTGGGAGTTCCTCAGATCCTTGATCCATAGTCCATTGAAATCAAAGGAAAGACTCCCAATGACGTTAGTGGGCTTTAGATCAGACCAGAAAGGCAACAGAAAGATCCAGAGCCTTATAACTGTATTTAAAAGCATGGATAAAAAATCAGTTCACATGATTAGCACTTGTTTTTCTATATATTTTAGTAATGTAGAAATCTCTATATATTTCCAATATCTTTTCTGATATGCTTAGAATATGCCCTATACACTATGGTAAGTGTTAAGTTGTAGCTATGGACAATGTTACAACTAAAATACAATATTGAAAATTTCTTAATCCCATATTTACACTTCATTAGTAAATAAGGATGATGATAATGGATTCCCATTAGCTGGACAAGGCTATCAAGAAGCCTTTAAAAAAAAGCATGTAGATTGTAACCAATGTAGTCAATTAGGTAAAACACTAGCATTCTTGCTGTAGGATAGAGGATTTTTCCCCTTAAGAATGCAGAATGAAAATTCAGGGACAAAATATAATGAAAATAAGGGACCATATGCCTATTAAAGCAAGGATATTGAGGGTGTGTCTCAAATCCTGTGTGCTGTTCCATTCACTGGTATATTATCATGTGTCCTATTTGTATAAGCAACAGAAGAACAGAATCACTGTCTAGATTTTCATCCTTTATGGTGGAATTAAAGTTTAAATCTTAACATTATTTCAACACTTTCTTTTTTGTGGTTTAATATTTAAAACTGAACACCGCAAATCAATACATTTCCGGACAGGTTCACCTGAGATATGGCTCCTACAGAATAAGAATGGATTTTTATTCTTAATTGTTAACCCTTGCTCCCTCTTCAGTGGTAAATCCAATATCTAGCATCCTGAAGCTGGTCCACTGTGCTAATGAAAGGAACACAGCTAACAATACTGGTGGCAAAAATTACAGCTCAAAGAAACGGAGATGAAAATCTCTCTCCTTCATATTGTAGCTTCATCAAAAATGTCTTTCCATCATCACTGCTGTCTCAATAGCTTTTCCTTCCCTGTCTCTTCTCACTTTTTCTCTCTCTTTCTTTTCTCTTACATAAGGTGCTAGCAACAGTGGAAGCAAGAAAAGTCCTCTATAAAGGCAGAATTCTCATTGACTTTTGAGAGTTTCATAGTTAGATTCGAGATTTGGGCCCAGAGCAAATCATATTCCAAACTCCTGTGCAAAAAACATTCCTGTAATGATGAGAATCTGGCAATGACTACAGTCCCAATCCCATAATGTTGCTGGTCTTGTAATGAAAAGACTTGGACAAAGATCCATGATTCTCAGGCAGAAACTTTAAATCCACCTGAGGATATATGACCTGGGGTTAGGTGAAATTTTCATTCATAAATTAGCAAATTGGTTTTAAGAAATGACCAAAACAGCAACAAAGAAAAGTTCTGTTCCAAAATCTGTGCTATTTTCTTCAAAAGCTTGAAAAATGTTGACTAGAACTTATTTTTTTGCCTTTTAAAAATAACCATTCCACCATAACTGCAGCCTGTAGTCTGTTCAGGCTACTTGAGTTGCAATTCTGTTGTATTCCTGTGGTTCTTATACTGGAGTTAAAACAGATATACTGCTAATCATTTAGCCTGAGTTAACCTTAGTACCACAAATATTTTGTGATTCCCATATCTCAGGGTAAAATTGCATATTTTTGCGTTAAAAAGAGATCTGTCTTCTGATATGAAGAGAAATTCAGTCTCTCATTTCACTGATTTCATAATCAGACAGCATAAATCACAGTTAACCTTTTGACAAAAATGTTTTAATTAATGCATATTTAATTCATACATGACAAGATATAGAAAGAGATATATAATGAGAGGCAGTCTGGTCCTGAGCTATAGAAATGAGCCACATATTGAGCTTCAGAAGTTTCTGAATTGCAATCCTGGATTCCTTATGAACTTGTATGGACTTCGGCAAGTTATTTAGCTTAAGGCCATGATAACCACAATGAAGGCAGTGGGGCTTTAATTTTCACAGGCAAAATTAGGCATGTACTTTAGTGCCTTGATGAATCAAAGTCATCATACCTCTGTTTCATCTATAAAATATGGGAAATAATAGTTACCTGAAAGGCTTCTAATGAAAAAAGATGTCATTCATTTTTTTTTTAGGTTGAGTAGTTAAATTTCCTAAATTCTCTGGGTGTACTTTTGTTTTTAGGTTGAGCAAAAGAGACCAAAAAAAAAAAAAAACCCTGGGAAAAAACCCCCCAACAACTTCACTCCCATGTAATGATGTAATGTTAGTGATGTTTTTGATGGTCCAGTTCAACAGAAGATCTACAGCATATAAAGATTTCCCTAGTGGCTGTTGTTGTTGTTGGTTTAGATCTCATCACAATTCAATACCCTTATTGCTCTGGTGCTTCACAGATGCCTGTGATACTGTTTTTTCTTCCTTTGCTGTTTTTTTAGCAACTACAATAAAAAAAAAGGCAGATTAAAAAAAAACCTAGTAAAGCTACCAACATAAAACACTAAAAGCAAAGGGAAAAAATCTCAATTAAGAGTGAAATGTACCGTATGCCTTCTCCTAATGCATCATGTGGAATTGCCTTTGTGACTATCTTAATGTTCCCAGTTGTACCTGGATATATGACGTGATAGAAATAGTCTCATCCTAAATTGTAATTTTTTTTCATTATTTTCTGTCAGAATCTTTAATATACTTTTGGTGTGGATTTTATGTGAGATATTATATAGATAAATCAGAGGACTGATAATTAATGAATCCATGGACATCCTATACTACAATCGGTTTGCAGACCAACTTTAATTAATAGGGCTGAGTTTTTAACCTACTTACTTTTTATAAGACTTATTAAAAGATAAAAGTGATGTATGGAGAGTCACTGTCTTTGAGCATGTGCTAGAATCCTCATTTGCATAATAAAAGAGACAGTGCATAAGCATAATAGTAATCATAAATGTATATTAATGGAGACATTTATAGACACATGAAAATATACACCATGTAAGGAAAAATCTTGGTTATTAATGTTGACAAATTCAATGCAGATGATGTTATGTATGTTAATATTATAAATCCTTATTGTTATGAATGGACTTTTATTAACATTGTCATTATAACTCATATGCTGTCAGATCCCATGAGAAAAAGAAAACATGATGGCAATACATAATGGCAAAATGGGATTGTCACATTTATATTAATGTCAAGTTCAAATTAAAATTAGTTCTAAAATCTGTGACAATGGCATTGTTACCTATTTAAGTAATAATTAGCATTCCAGTTAAAGGCTGCTGGTGAACTGATATTGAAATAACCTGCTTCAGTAATTATGTATGGCACTTATTTGATGTCAGAGTGAATTAAAAGGAATCTTCTGAAGTTGTCATGATTGGACCATGCATAGACAAATTGATATGCGGGAAAATCCATATGCAAATTTTCTGCCTGCGAACAGGCTGGTCCCAACTCTTGTTCTACCAACTCTTATTTTACAATGTTACAACTCCAATTACTAAAAAGTAGTTACTTCTATCTTACATATATTGAATAGTCTGATTCAAAGATGCTTTTGGACTCTTCCTCCATAACTTTTCACCACAGATTCACTCTACTTGGGCTTGCTAATGCAGCAAAAGATTTGAAACAAGGAAAGCACTCCTGTGAGTAAAGCATGATAATTCACCCATCAGATATCATAGCTTTCTAGTCCAAGATAATTAATATTTGCATACAATTATGGTCCATGTATTTGGGTCTTGAATGTCAGTGGAACTTTGGCTCAAAATAGGGGAAAAAAACTGTTGCTCAAAAGTCATGTAAATTAAAACTGGTAGTGTTTGCAGGACTCTAATCATGTGTTTTTTTTCCCAGCAGCTGTTGATGGCCTTAGCAGTGCTTAAGAACCTGAGTCAGCAAAGCAAACTAAGTACATACTTAACTTTAAGTATGTGTTTCCCTTAAAATCTATTTGCTGAACAAGGAGCTAAAGCAGTGAGAAAGCTGCATCCATTCATCTGACAAAAACGTTACCCCTTTGAAGTCTTGGGAGTAAATAAGTAAAAGAGCAGCTCTCACCTAAAACTATTTGGGACCTAAACCCTCTTACAATAATCAAGGCCTTGTATACTCATTGTGATTGCCTTTGGATAAGTAACCCAGCTGGTACAATTATCATCTGTCTCAGGATCACATAGAGAGCACGTCTATGCTGCAATCAGAGGTTGATTACAGGAGTTTAATCTAGCTATCTTGAGTCCTGGGGGCAACGTGGACCTCAGTAGAGGTCAGTTGCCCAAGTAAGTATCTGGGGTCCTGGGCAGGCCATTTTGAAGCTTGTGATGCTGCAGTTTCACTGATCTTGATGCCTCAATTAGCTAGATTAACTCAGATATGCCTACACATGTTGTAATCACAGTTGTAGCTTAGACATGCCTCTACACACATTAGTATGTTTTCAGAATGCCTTGGTTAATGTGTGTATCCTTTTATTACAAATCAGTTTTGTGCTGTAGTGTCTGTGATCTCTTTTTTATTTTACCAAAAACTGAAGAAAAACCATACATTTTCTCCCTGCTCTATATGTTGAGTGTATAAGGGGGTGAGGGGAAAAAACAAGGAGGGAGAGGCAGATATAGTATTACACTATATGGCAATCTGCAGCTGATTATAGACCAAGAGCATCAGCCTCCAAAATGTATAGGTCTCTCCTGAACGCATCTTGCTTGTCCTTCAAGGAAAGTTGCAAAGTCTCTCTCTTTTCCTCACAAAGTCAACACGTGTATATCTTGTCATGCCAAGTCTCATTGAAGTGATTTGTGCATGTCTGCAAAATGAAAAGGAGAATCAAACAACCCTTTGACATTTTTTTCAGAAAGTTTCTTTCCCTGCTGGCAGTGATCTGTGACCTTTAAATTCTCTCTTTCACAACAGACTTATAGAAAACTAAAGAAAGAACTACAGTGCCAGTGAAGGAAACATAACTATATTATTCCCATTTAAGCCAATTGCCATAGTCAGGAGAATGTGAATCTCCTTTACTGGTTTATGTCTTGACTTTTTACATGCCTGGCTTTCTGACACACTGCAAAACATTGTCATTTTTTAAGGTCCTGTTTTGGACTGCCAGGAGAACAATAATTTCAATAATTATAGAAGAACATAGGGTATGCTACCATATCTTAATGTGTTTACTATTACTCAAAAATGTTTTAACTTTAACAAATATGTAAATGGTAAAATTCAACAAATGTCAATATAAGGAAAGTACTGAGAAAGTCCATAATGAATCTGGCATTTCAGCTGGCTTCACTTGTGTCATATCAGTGTCATAGTTTATTTGCAAGGAACCTTTTCCAAGCAAAGCTACCTGCATCTCTTCTTACCACTCCACATCCCCTGATTTTTAACAAAACATGGGATTCGTGTACTAAACGATACAGGTTTGGAAAACAGGCCCTCCTCCTCAGAGCATTAACTCTTTTTTGTGGTGTTCAGCTTTGTAAAGTGTGAGGAAGATGTTTTCATGTATTTAGAAATATTGTCTTATCTTCCAGAATTGTTGTTTTCAATATCACCTAATTAGCCTTCCATGATGTGTTTATGGCCAATCTCTGGGCAGTCAAGAAGGCTTCTCACTGACCATAAATACTTATTTTTGTCTCTATTCCATACCCCAATGCAAATGAACTCCCAGATTCATTTAAAGGTATGCTAGAGGGAAATTCTTATTTAATTAAATACCCCACCCAGTTCTAAACCACTTATTTTTAGTTGAGTATAATTTGTATTGAGACATACTGGATTTTCCAGTCCTTGTCTAATATAATTTCTCCCATGTTTTTCTGTTGTTGGGGAAAAAAATCCTCCATTATAAAATTTGCCTTCATTATATAGAGCCTGTATTTTCTTAGCCTTGATGTCACTTTGTTAGTCCCTGTTATATTCCATCATCATCCTTAGCAACTCTTAATCCTGTTTGATGAATTCAAAAATGTAAGAACAATTATTGTGTTCCTTTACTTGCTTTGGCTAAGTCAAAGAAAACAGTTCTTTCATACAAGTCAATCCCTCCCACCGTGTAATAATTTTAATTATCTCTTAATTCTCCCATATTCATGGCAGAATGACAGAATCGAATGTAGTACTCCAGGTGTCATCATACTAGAGACTTGCAGAGTTATAGTACTCTCTCACTGGTCTCCTTCCTACTGAATATCTGTTGTGTTTTCTTTCCATAGACTTTGATTTTTTTTCCCTGTTGAATTTCATTTCTCTTCCTGTATACAAGTCAGATTATTCTCTCCCCAAAAAAAAGTTATAGATGGGAACTCCAAGGGAAGAAAACGAATGGTATTCCCTTTGAATTTTTTTCAGTTTGTGAAAGGTTTGCTTTCTTTCCCACCACTCTATATAGTTTCATAGTTATACTTTCATAGTTTCTAGGGTCGGAAGGGACCTGAGTAGATCATCTAGTCTGACCCCCTGCCATGGCAGGAAATAGTAGTGGGGTCAAACGACCCCAGCAAGGTGTTCATCTAACCTCCTCTTAAAAAGCCCCAGGGTAGGAGCCTGCACTACTTCTCTTGGAAGTTGGTTCCAGACCTTAGCCGCCCTGATCGTGAAGTAGCGCCTCCTGATATCTAGCCTAAACCTACCCTCTGCCAGCTTGTGACCATTATTCCTGGTCACTCCTGGCAGTGCTCGGGGGAACAGTGACTCCCCCAATGCCTTCTGATCCCCCCTGACTAGTTTATAACAGGCCACAAGATCCCCCCTCAGCCTTCTGTTTTGGAGGCTGAACAGGTTTAGGTCCCACAGCCTCTCCTCATAGGGCCTGCCCTGCTGTCCCCTGATCATGC